TTTGAGCAAGTTACTTAATTAGTAAAATGACAGTAATCATGCTCACCTGCAAGAGTCCTTACAAGGTTTTTAACAGCAGTAGGGTACAAGGCCTCCTAGCACAGGGGTCGGAACAATAGCCCCCAAACATTTACTCTGCCTACAACTGAGGGGAACCAGGGTTTAATGACACGGCAAGCTACGCTGAACGGAAAGTAGGGCCTTGGCGATTTTACTGGCCCTTAGAATTTCACAGGATCCGCCTCTCCACAGCACAAGCGATTAGGTCTTACATTTAAAAAGCAAACTGCCAAACACAGCAGAAGCCATTGTTTAGCTGCCCAAGGTTATGGCCCAGCGAGAACCCCAGTGATTTATGCAAGACAAAAAGGTTCCTTAGGACACGGCCCTGTCCTTGAGAACACAATGTGTGTGGCACAGCAACAAGTTAGTGGCTTGAAACCCTCATCACAGGAAGGGATATCATTTTTCCTCCGGTGGCCAGGCCATGCGTGCCCGATGACCTCACCATTAATAACAGGCCTGCCGCTCCCTCGTGGCTATTCTCAGAGGCCTGCATGGCAGTGAGAGAAACCATCCTTTCATGACCAAAAATAGTTGTTGTTCTTGGGTCAGGCTGACAAAGGTTTTGCTGAGCTGCAAGATTTGGAGTGAGTAATTTGCAGAAAGCTCCGGAGGGCCGGTTAGATGGAGTCCCCTGCTTGAAGAGTGGTGGCGAAGGCTGAATTTGGAGAATGAAAGCTGACTAGCTATCTGTGCTATTTTGAGGAACAGCCAAACGTAAATAAAAGTTTTTTAAGAAGGTGCTAGGGGAGAAAGGTAGTTTCACACTGATCGGTAGGGATCCTTATCACCTTTGAAGCGTCAGTGGTCAGGGTAGGTAAGGATATTGTATTTTTAAAAACCAAAATTTGGGTTTTTATTTTGGAACCACACCAAGTTAGTTTTAAAAGGGGAGTGACATAATAAAACACATGTTTTAAGTCTTGTGATCTTGGGCAGACTCCTCTATCTCTCTAGCTTCAGTGTATCTGTCACTGAAAAGAATGGTCTCAAGGTGCACCCATTTACTTAAAAATGTCCCAAGTTTATGCTTCTTTACGGCACAGCAGTATTCCACTGTACGTAAAAGCCACTCTTTTTATCATCAGATGAATGGATAAAGATTTATGGAATTGAAAGGGGATAGTTCAGAAAACCCCAAATAATATTCAGCATTTAAGGATGACTTGGAAAACAGTATTTTCTTGTGCAGCTGTTTCTCTCTGCCCCTCCCCCGTGTTGAAGCTCAAAGCCAGGGTCTTGTGTGCACATCACCATCACCGTTGAGCTACACCCCCAGCCCCAGTCCTTCCCTTTTATGGTTGCTTAGCCGTTACTGCAGTGACTGCTAGAATGTGCTACATGCTTAACACAAATTAGTCACTGTGCTGAACGTGTAATCTTTACAATCATATTTTAAGGATTCATTATTGTTGTGTCAGTCATAAGTAAACATAAGTCTGGGAGGGGTTGAACACATTAATGCCCAAGGTCACACAGCTGGAAAGTTGCAAATCCAGAGCTGGGGCTCTAGTCTAACGTGCTGTGATCTCAAGCTCTAAGTTTGCTGTTGAAAACACAGAGACTCGGCTTAGAAAACAGTTTTTCTTTTTCCTGCATGGACAGTCTGACAGACTCTCATACAAGTTGAGGATTTAGAAGATTTTTAACTTGACATTGCCTTTACCTTGCCCTGGCCTAGTCAGCAAACATTCCAATGATCTTCCATCCTTCAAAGATAGTTGGCTAATGGGAGAAATAAGAGTAAGATCAAGTGCCTTGTATTCTTGAGCTCTTTAATGGAAAATAAGAGACAGACTTTTCCTTGTTAAGAACAGATACATTTTTAGAGCTATTCTATGGGTTGATACAACCAACGGAAAATACAAAGTCCACAAAAAAATGAACACACACTTCAGCAGTGCACTGAACTCATGTCTGGAAGCTCATGGCCACCAGTTTGAGCACCTCTTATAGTTGCAGAGGCCAAAGGTAACCTGTATTAATCTCCTGATGGTTCAGTAAATTTGTCATTGAAATATGTATGCAAGTTTTTCTTTTCCTGATTATACATTTCCATGGACTCTGTAGATAGGATATTTAATAACAATGTGATGGAGCCATGAGTCAAAATGGGAGGTCAAAACGAGAAGAGCAAACTCCCCATTCATCTGGCAGAGAACGAGGAGGGAAACAGTGTACCTGGGTAGAACTGGGGTGGGAGGAGGCTGAGATAATACTACAGCGCACATGCCTACCCGACAGACACGGCCTGACCTTCCTCCCGGCCGACTTCTGACCGCACTTGTGGCTCCTGCTGCATCCTCCTTGCTCTGTCTTCCAGGCACCGTTCTCCCTGACAGCGGTTCTGGTGCTCCAAGGTTCTCCTCTGAGGGCCTCCATGGGCCTGGACCCCCTCCTCCTCCTTCGGTTATCTGCCTGGTGATCTCTTACACCCCAATGGCTTCACTTCCCACGCACGCTCCGATGACTCACAGCTCTATCTCCAGTCTTGATCTTGCCTCTTAACTCCAGACCCACATGTCAAAGGTCTATTTACCATCTTCTGCATGCTTGCGGGATAATTCACAGCAGGGCCGCAGCTGAGCTCATGCTCTTGTGCCCCTGGCCAGGTCCGTTTCTCGGTGAACTACCTGTCCAGTCGCTCAGGTGGGAGCCGCGGAGCTGGCTGATTCCTTCCCCCTCCATTCACAGCCGCACTCTGTGGATTCACATGGACATCTGCTTGAGTCCCTCTCCCACCTGCACTGCCGTCATCCTCGTGCACGTCAGTGTCCTCTCTCTCCTGAACTCTGTCACTTACCTTCCGAATGGTCTACCTGCTTCCCCGGAGGCCTCCCCTCCTGTCTGCTCTCCCTCCTGCAGCGATAGTGATCCTTGTTCTTGAATGGGTCACGCTACCCACATGCTTAGAATCCTTCAGGTTTTTTTTATTGTTCTTAGGAGTCAGAAATTCTTCCCACGGCCCACCAGGCATGGAATAATGGTTTTCAAATCATAGTCTTGGACTGTATCAGTATACATTAGTGGTAGAATCAGAAATACAAAATCTTGGGTCCCATCTGAGAGGTACAAAACAACGCTCTGGGAATGGGGCAGGGCAGATTGTGTCTTAACAATCTCTTCAGGTGGTTCTGATGTGTACAGGCAAGTTTGAAAACGACTGCTGTAGAATCTCCCTACCTCACAGGCTATGTGTGGCCTCTTGTTCTCTCCTTTGCAGCATGCTATCTCTTCCTTTCATTCTCTCATATAGTAAATGTTTCCTCCAACCACAGGGCCTTTGCACAGCTCTCCCCTTTTCCATGACTGCTTCTCCCTCTTTTCCTTCCCTAGTTAATGTCTACTTTTCCTTCAGGTCTTAGTTCAAGAGCTGCATAAGACGAATCCCTCCTAATGCCGTCTACTGTTCCTTAGAAGACCTTGAAAAACAGCTGTATTCTTCTAGCTCGTATGGTGTGAACACCTGTCTCCTCAATTAGACTAGAACCTTGGAAAGAATTCGGATTGTATTAGTCAGTTTTCCATTGCTATAATAAACCCAAATATGGTAGTTTGCTAAGAAAATAGATTTCTTTAGCTCACAGTTCTGGAGTTCCAAGGGCATGGCACCCCCACCTGCTCAGCTTCTGATGAAGGCGTCATGCTGTGTCAAGGGGGAGGGGGAGGCATGTGCGGAGAGCGTGTGTGTAAGAGATAGGTGTGAGAGAGCTGACTGCTTTGTAACCACTATCTCTGACTATAACTAACCCAGTCCAAGAGACCTAACTCTCTCCCACAGGACCCACCCCGCCCTGAGAGAATCAACCCAGGTTCCTCAGAAGGATGCTATTCCTTGCAAGAGGGTGGTGTCCCCAGGACCTGGTCACCTCCAGCTGGGACTCACCACTTGAAGGTCTCTTAACCTGCGGTAGGTACTGTTACATCTTGGACCAAGCGCACACACCTTTAGGAGACAAGCCATAGCAGGGACTGTGTCTACTTTTGCTTGTTACTGACTGCAGTATTGAACGCTAGGATAGAGCACGTGCTCAGATGTCTGTTGAATGCGTGCATAGGTAAGTGAACTTTCCCTATAGCATCTGCATATGTTTTGAAAGCACAGACACACTGGAGTCCTCATGGTTAGCTCTCAGTCTGTCCATTTTATAAATGGGACATCTGCCTAGAAGACTTGTTGGGATGGTTATAGGAGGTGCTACATGGACAAAAGTCTTCCACCAGGCCAGGCACACAATACCTTCATAAATCCGAGCCCCGAATGTCACTGTCACTATTGTGAGCACATCGTCCTGTCCTTGCTCTGCTTTCCATAGTTGCCCACAGTTACAATAGTCGGATGGGGCTGCATCGAATGTCATTCCAGACAAGAATGTACACTGCTAAATTGTAAGAGCGAAGTCCATCTTTTTGCAATTTCTGCATTTTTCCTCAGTCATTACCACCCAGTATATTTACCCCAGAAAGTTCTTATCAGCACTATCACTGATTTCTAACACCAATTGTGCATTTATTCAGTGAGCCATGAGGGAAAGCCCGGAGGCACCACGTTAGGTTCTGGGGTATGGTTATGGTTGAAATGCGCCTTGATCCCTGCAGAACTGACCATCAAATGGAGAAAAAGTACCAACAGTTCAGCACAAGGCCAGTGAACAGAAACATGGGAAGTCCACGGGGTTTGTGAAGCCAGGAGGCACATCTCACGCAGGAAGAGGCTTTCCTCCTCAGGCGAGCCTTTGGGTCTCAGGGAAAAGCCACACCGAGCTGACCACTTGGTGTGTGTGGAGGTGTGCGATGCAAACCAGACAGAGAAGCTGGTGTTTGTCTTCCAATCTGAATCACACTTGTCTCCGTGGTTCATTCTGTGTTTTCCTACAAACAGGGTTTCCATGAAAACCAACTGAAAGGAAAGGAAACTAGAAAGGCCAGCTGGGCAGTCTGCCCCCCAAGCACCAACTGTGCAGGCTCGGTGCTCGAGAGCATTTCCGCTGCCCGCTCTCTGCCTCGTTTTCCCCTCTTGCTGGCTCTGATTTCTTCACCACCGTGCACACCAGGGGCGGAGGCTCGTCTTCACAGTGGTTGGAAGGAATCCTTCTTCTTTCGCTCTCCTCAGTTTCGTCCATGCCTTAATCTTCAAACAGAATCAAATACTCATTGCCACGGGGTGAGCCCGGGCTGGAAGGGCCCAGGGTTTCTAAGAGCAGGTCTTGCTGTACTGAGGGGGACCCAGCGAGTCTCTCAGCGAGCCTGACGCTAAATCATCAGGCTCAATGAACTCATTTCAAAGAAATATGCAGGTGCTGTTTGACCTTCAGACATGTGGACTGGCAGAGCAAGTGAAAGTCTCAGCTGCTCCCGTAATGTGAACTGGACAGGGTAATTCTTTTTCATATTCTCTGCCTTTTGTGGGGGGATTATTAGCGGGAGCTAAACAAGTTACTTGCTTTAGTTGCAAGTGCGGTGGTTGGCTGGGGTCGCTTGTGCTGAGGGGCAGCCAGGTGTTTGCTGCCGGTAAGCACCACTGAAGACTGAGCAGGCTGGAGGAGAACGGGGCCTCGGAGGCCGGGCCTGAGCCTGAGGACTTGGGGGAGGCAGCTTGGGGCACAGGAGAAGCCGGGGTGCACAGAGCCGAGTGCTGGGACCCCCTTGGCTCAGAAAGTCTTGATGGTGGATTCCACTGTTCACAGGGAACACAGCACAGAGAGGGTCTCGTTTTGCCATTTCAGATAGCAGGACGACTGCGGTCCTTTCAGGCTTAGATCCTCTCTGGATGCCGTAACATTTTCTTCGGTTTCTGCACAAGAGGCCGTTCTTACCCAGCAGCCTGTGTTTTCTAAGAACTGGGGCTGCACTGAGAACAACTGTCACGTGGTCACAAGTGTGGTTTTGGACTTAGAAAGCTCTAATTCCACATCACAGACCCTCCAGTTTCCTGGTTGCCTGTCCTCAGGGAAGTTACTTAACTTTTCTGAGCCCTGGTTTTCTCCAGTTTAAAATGGAGCTGATAATTCTCCTTCAGCTTTTCACAGTGTATGATAGAAACATGCTTTCATGTACCAAGAAGAAAAGGTCCACTGGGCAAGCACATTTGGAAAGGCCAATGCATTTTGATCACGCGTATTGTCAGATTCAGATAAAGACCCTAACAAATTCTGCAGGAAACAAACCTGATTAACTTTGTTGAACCCAAAAAGTGGAAGTATATTTGAGTTCAAGGACTTTCTTCCTTGCTTTTGTAGAAAAGGAGACAGTGTTTCATGATATACAAGTAACCACGTAGGATGACTGTAAGGGTTAGATATAAACCTAACACGAAAGCTTCCTACAGTATCTTGACTAGCATCACCAAAGAGTATTGTATGATTATTACGTGTTGTATTATTGTATGTATAATATTGTGTGATTTTTTTTTTATTTTTATTTTTTTATTTTTTGTTTTTCTCCGGTACCGGGAACCGAACTCACGACCTTGCGCTTGCCAGGCAGGCGCTTTGCTGCTGAGCTAAATACCCAGCCCCTGTGTGATTATTATGAATGAGGGTTTTTGATTTTTCAGAATAGAAACCCTAAATGTGATCAGTCTGGGTTTTGATCATAGGCACCGTAACAGTATTGCCAGTTGGTTTACAGATTCCAGCTGTGAGTGGGAACTAACGGATGTGATTTATTGAGCATCTATCATGTGTCGGGGCATCCATTAGGAACTTTAACACAGCGTCCTCCATGTATTTAATGGCCCCAGCACTCAGCAAGATAGGCAGTACTTCACCGTTCATGGATGTGGAGGTTGAGGCTGCAAGATAACATGTTCCCTGTCCATGCTGCGTAGACTGTAGCTCGGATTCACTTACCCTTTGCAATTCTCTAGCTCCTCAGGGTTCTGTGAGGGCAGTTCCCCAGAAGATATTGCAGTAAGCTTATTAAAATCAAATACTGGCCAGCACAGGTGTTGCAGGGTTGCATTTGCTGGGAAGGTCAAGCTCCAGCCCTGCCAAACATCCTCCTGCGTGAACTTCTCCGCGTCCCTCCCTTTGGGACCCAGGGCACGGTGCTGCCTCCACTCGAAGCTCTCTCCCTGCGACTCCCTCCTGTCTGCCTCTCTTCCAAAGGCCACGCCCACCTTCCTCCACGTGCTCCCCAACGCTCTGCACTCCCTCCCCCCACAGGGGTGCTCACACTCCCCTCCACCCCATGTCCCACCGCACTGAGCAGCAAGGCAGTTTCGTGAGCGCCGTGTCTCCAGCACAACCCATGCGTAATGTCCTAGGGATTTACTGATGAACGAGTGATACCGGCTCAAAGCTTCTGTGGGAAAATTATTCATGCCTCAGGTAACAAAGAGCGGGAAAATCATGCATTTCATAAGCGTCACCTACTTGACGTTGGAGAGTCTCTGGACATGCTTTCTTGGAATTATTGGCAGTAAAAACCTTGAAAATCCCTGCATTAAAATAATGCCTGCTGCTGAGCTGTGGGGACAGGGTTCAGGGGAGACTGCTCGAAGGGGCCACCTGGTTTTGGCGGAGTTGAGAGGTGTCTGGAGAACAGCACACAGCTTCGCAGATTCAGAAACCCACTTTTTTAACAGGATGGAGGTGTAGGGGCGGTGCCTCCAGGAAAGTACTCCCCCTGCCCCCGAGCTGTTTCTTGACTGTGCTGTGTCCTGGTGCATTGCACACGTTGTCCTTTACACTCCGGTTTATCTTCAGGGTCCTGCTGATCACTCCCATTCTGAATGAAGAAGCACAGGCTCTGAGGTGTTTTGTAACTCCCCGAAGACACACAGCTCCACAGTGGTGGAGCAACCAGTCAAACCCAGATCTGTCTGCCAGGAAGTCCATTTTGCCCCAGTTAGGCTACTTTGTTACCTAAAATGCAGGCTTGCTTCTTCTCCACAGGAGTTGCCCTGGCAACATAATCTGTATTAGATAGAGGTAAGTTCCTGCTAGAAACTAACCTTTGCTGCAAAAGGATACACAGTGTGCTCAATCTGAAAATCAAGGCAGATGTTGCTTAAAAGCTTTGTGTACCAAATTTACACAAGATACTGTGTCCTCTCCTGACATGCCAAGAACAGTTTGTTGGTGACAGTGAGAAACAGTTCTTAATATCAGAGCATCTATTCCCTTGGGTAATCATAAATCCACACTTAGTCTTTGAAATCCAGTTCTCCTATGTGCCACGTCTTTCTTTCTTTCAGAGTATGGCATCAGACTTGTTGGAGTTTGACATTATTTCTGGCTTTATATGCCAAGAACCACTCTGGTTTAAAGGAACTGCCTCTCTCAAAAGTTGATGGCTTATTTCCTGCAACAATTTCCAGAGAGAAAATCTCTGATGCTTTTTATTTTGATCTTGCCTACTTCTTGGCCTCTCTGGAAGGCAAAGGACGAGGTAGGAAATTGCTCCCCTTGAGCACATTCTCAAGGAGTGGCATATTTTCAATCCCATAGTATGGTAACATATCAATAAGACAGTTGTTTCAGTTAAAATGACAAGATGTTCTGGAAGAGACAGAAAAGCACAGGGCAAGCCTGTTGGATACACCATTGAAACACCAGTGGGAAGTTAGCAAAAGATAACCAGAGTCCATCATGGGAGAGGCCTACCCCTCTCCACAAACACCTGAGATGCCTTTTCCCCAGGTTTATTCCCCCTGACGGTGGAGCCTAGTGATGCTGCCCACATGCCTTTTGTGCAACTGGCTGAGAGAATTCAAAGAGAGCTGATTAATGCCAAGTATCCGCATGTAACACTAAGGCTACCAGGGCTGACTTCCTGTCTGTTCAGTGCCTTGGGATGAGCTGTTCTGATCTGGTCTCTACGTACTCAAGGATTAACTGGCTCTTTGGGAATCCATTTGGTTAGCCATACACAGATCAGTTCCTGAAAGGTGGCAGTTCCCAAAGAGCTCTTCTATTTAAATTAAAGGACTTAGCCCTCCTATAACAGTTTCTCAAAATTTTGTCTGAGGTCCACCCACATGAGATCCACTTAGGGTACCTCTCACCCATAGCACCTGCATTTTAGATGGTCATTCTACAGTTTTAACAAAATCCTCAGGTAGTTCCTTTCTGCAGACTTTTAGCCTTAAAATGATCATGCGCAAAAGATCAGAATCCTGAGAAGGAAGGAACTGAAAGAGGCTTGGGAGATGATGAAGTCAGTGCTCATCATTTAACGGGTGGGGAAACTGGGACATGAAGGTGCACCACCAGGTGCCTGCTGGAACTCAGGCAGAACCAGAGTGTAGGCTCTTCCAGTCTCTTCCAGACTCCAAGTCAAAAGTCATGTGGCCATACTGTGGTGACATTTCCTCTTCCTGCCCTGGAGCCAGGGTATGATTTGTTTTATATAAGCCTATGCTGTAGAAGGGTCTGATGACTGAATCGCCCCAGCAGTACCATCCTCCTGTAATCTCAAATGGTAACATTTCAATTACTTACTGAAAGCCCCCTTTTGATTCTTATGTGTCTTTGGGGTGGGGTTCCATCAGGTTACAGCCCTTGCCTAGGATGGCCACTCCTCCCCTCTCCTCCATCTCCACTCTCCAGGTATTCCCGACTATTTTTGGCTCACCCTGTAAGCCATCCTGCATCCCAGGGTTAGCACCTGTGATCTCTACATTCACTTTCCTAGCAAAGATTTCAGACGTGAGGGTTTATCATCCCTCCCAAGTGTAGCACACATTTGCAGGTGCTCCTCCTGCAGGAGCTCCTGTCTGACCCTTTGCAAATTGAAATTGTTGCAAGTGCTTCATGCATTTGTCCCCAGCCATAGTTCACGCTATAATGACAGGGACCTTGCTTGGTGTTGATGGGTGGTGTTGACGGGTAGCTCCTCCCTGGCCACAGTTTAGCTTTCCATCTGTGATATGAACTGTAGTCCCAATTACGAAATGGGAAACTGCACGAAGAAGGAATTGGTGAAGTGTGAATTGCATGTCATTCTGAGAAGTGTGACGAATTCTCCTGCTGCCTGTGTGGGTCTAGTATATCCGCACTGTACACACTACCCACCCTTTTGTCATGTAGTAGCTATTTTGTTATCAGATTTTCACAGTGATAGTGTTCAAGTAACCCTTACTTTACTTAATAATGGCCCCATAGTGCAGTGGTGGTGGTGCTGAAAATCAGATATTCCAGACAGAACCCAAGGTGCACTTCCTTTAGTGAAAAGGTGAAAGCCCTTTACTTGTATGCCAAAATACATGTGTCCCCAGATTGCTAAAATCTGCAGCAAGAATAAAGAGGAAAAACATGGGGCTCTGCACTCTCTGACATCCCATGACGTCTTGGGATACATACACCCAGGTAAGGGGGATCCTTATACAAGCTCACCAACAAGCCTGACCTGGAGCCTTACCTCTGAGTCCAGACCAGCTTCTCCAGCTCAGAGCTAGAGCTCCAGATTGACTCTGCTTCTCCTGACCCACCTGACCTACCGTTTGTGGACACTGCCATTGGTCTCAGGCAGACCGCTGCCTTCTTGAGCCTTTTGGTACATGAACTTCAGGGTCATCCTGCAGTGTCCTTACTGCTACATAATGAAGGCTGCCCTACAGTGAGTTCCTGTTACATAGCCAAGTTCTCTGTCGTGGGTTTTGTATGCATCAGCTGCTTACAACTACCTTGCCACATAGTTGTGGTTCAGAAGCCAAAGGAATCTAATTGAATTCCAAAAATGGCCACAGCCCATAAGCAGAAAACTGTAGGCGTTCTCATGGTTCTAACTCCCCATTTCATCCCCTTTCTGTCGTCAGTGGGATTGCATCCCTGGTAACCAGCGCTGTGACAGTCTGCCTCAGGGTGGACCCAGGAAGCTCGTTAGACCTAGCTGTCCGCTCAAGTAACTGAAATGACTAGGGAAAATTCAGAGGAGAAAATGGAAGCGATTCCGTGAGACTCAGTGACCCACACTCAGGTATGGCAACTATTCGGCCCTTTTCCATCTTCTAAGAAACTTCTTCAAACAGAGAGGAAATTTGAATAGAGCCATTTTTTTGACTCTTCAAAGAAAATGTTTATTTCTGTACTTTAGTCAATAGAGTGAGCACCTACAGTATTTTCTAAGCGGAAGTCAGGGAGATTACAGTGTTAAGACAAGCTGGTACAGTCTTTGTAACCTCAGGTGAAGTGCAGCTTGGACCACTTATTAGGCTATGAAGTCAAGCAAATAGGTAACTCAATTCACTCTAAGCCACATTTGCACTGTATATCAAAGAAGAGGAAATGGGATAGTGGTACCTATCTCTTAAGGTGTACATGGAATCGAGTGAAGAGAACATTCTTAGCTGGTGGTGATTTTGCATTTAGTGCTGTGTGTTGAGATATTTTGGCTTTCCCCAACTTGGAAAGTGCCCCAGGCAGGTACTGCATAGAACATCCTATAACACTAATCCACAGGACAACCTCCCTCACACACACACAAAGAATCAATCCTGCCAAGGTTGAGAGACCATGAAGTGTAGCTCAGAAACACTTGGAAGATTCCCTTGAAAACAGGGAGATGTATGGCACACAGATGAAAGAGCCCATGGAATGCTGAATAAATATTTCACTTTTCATCAAATATTTCAAAGTCACGAAAAATACATTTGCATTCGTCCACTGTGCTGTGGGGTGGTAAGGTTATTTGTCAGTTGTTTAAGAGTTTCATAAAGCTGGATTTGTGTCCCACTGTAAGCTCTGCTTCTTTTGTTTAAAAATCTCTTACCATACAACCTTACTTTGGAAAAGGGAGGTTTATTTATTTATTTATTTTTTTACTTAAAAGCATCTTGAATTATTAAACCAGTTATTTTCCAGACCTGCAAATGTTTTCAGCATGTTGCCCTAGTTTCCCCTGAGTCAGCACGTGGGACTGCGTCTTGGAAGATCTCAGGGAGTCAGAGCCAGAGACATTTCCTTCAGTGCTGGCATTTTCCTCTGGGTAGTGACACCGGGGCGCTCACTCCGCTGCTCCTAGATCCCACATTCAAGGCCTCAGTGGGTGCCCTGCTGGGCACTGAGTTACGCCCCTTAATTTCAGGCGAGTGAAAGAATAAAGAAAACAAACTCAAATGGTCATTTAGTATTTTCCCTCGATGTGCTCACATCCAGGCAAGAGCCAAACCAGAAGGTAAATCCTCCAACTCACATTTTATGGAGGACAATAAGAAAGTGCTTTGGATTACAGTGAAAGAATTCTGCTTCAGAGCCAAATGCTTTTAGAGGAGGCAGCAGGGGGAAAAAAAAAAAAAGAAAAAAGAAAGAAAAGAATAGAAAAGAAACTACCCAAGTCAGATTGATGAAAACCAGTCAAAACAGGGCCTGTTGTGGCTGACAGAACTCTCCCGGCTGCCCCGGACCCCAGCAGGGATTTGCGGGAGGGTGCTCCGCGCCACATGCGCTAGGTTTCTGTGTAGAGTGCTTGGAAGCTGCGGTCCAGCCCCACACATTTCCTGAATGTATTATTGAAAATTATCAGACCTGTTTTGCTCATTAGCAGGAAGCTGAAAAAATGACTCACGTAAAAGACTGAAAGGCTTTTTATAGCCGGTCACTTTTAAACAAACGTCCTCCAGGATCTTGAGTTCTTTCTGCAGGGCTCAAGCCTTGGGGAAGGTCCGTTCATCGCACAGGAATTGCTGCTGAGATCCACCGGCCCCTAAGGGCTGGGTGGCCTCCTAGCTAAGTCAGCTCATTTAATAAGTGCTCAGAGCAGATGGTTTGCTCACAAGGGGTAAATGTTCACACTTGATTTTTACTTTAAACAATTTTTACTGACAGAGAGGCAAGAGAAAGTTTTTGTTGTATTTTTTTTCTTTAAGTTGACAAATCTGAATAATAAAGCCCTGGAGCTATTCCCTATGAGAACTGGAAAGATCCCAATCCAGCACAGTTTCAGGGACCCAGAGAGGCTGCTAAGATGCCCTGGCTGACTCTGCCCACACGGGACTGGGAGCCCAGCGCCAGGTCCTCGTGCCGTAGTGCAAGTGGCAGCTGAGGTCTCACTGACGTAACTGTTCGCTTTGTTGCTTTCATCTAACTAGACTGACTGCCCGCTCTATTTCTCCGGGTAGTCTAGCAGTTCATTAATAACCCCTGTCCCTTCTCCCCATCTGACTTTGAAGAACCTAAATTCATTTAGATTTGATTAGTGGTAATTATTTACCTGTCAGCCCGCAGCTGCACTTCTTCTCCAAAGCTGAGTCGCAGCGCTTTGCTCCCAGCGGCCGCTTCCAGACAATTAAGTCAGAGGAGCACCTGTGTAAATACGTAGTATTTGGTGATAAGAAAACGATTAGGCAACAGAACTTGAGCTGAACTGGTGAAAAATTGTGTTTCCCTCTGGGGGCTTTTTACACATGCTTTTGAGCAGTTCCGATCTCAAGAGCAAGGCCAAGTTCTTTTCCCACCTCTCCTACACCTTGTTTGTTTGGAAAACTTAGCTAATCTGTTATCACTAGATTTAGTTTGCTTGCAGACTTTGAAATTTTAAAGGAACCATCTTCTGGGTAAGCTGAAAGAAGAGAGGCTGAAGTAAGGTGAGAAACACTAACAGATAATTTTCTTTTCTGAGGCTAAAATGTCTGTCTTAATAAACTGACTATTGAAACCCATCTTGCACAATCGTATCTTGCCCTTATTTGTATTTGGAACTTCTGTGATGGGATTTGAGGTGGAGTAAAAGGGAAATAGAGCTTTGCAATCAGATGGACCAGGGATTTGAGCCCTAACTTTACCTCAAACAACTGTGTGACCTCCATCACATTTTGAATCTCAAGTTCCAAAAACATGAAAAAACCTAATTCCCAGCCTCACATGCTAAGTCACATGCAGAGCCAGGCTCAGCACCCCTGGGCCATCACCCACCGGCCCCCTTCTATGTGACAATAGACCAGCTCTCGCCCGTCTTCGTGGCCAGCTCACCAGTCAGTAAATTTAAAAATTGCTTTCTGGTGGAGAGCACTGCTCAGTAGTACAAGGTACCAGCAGAAGGTGATTCTAAAATTTCCTTCTTTCGAAAGGTACCCTCTGCTGCTCTAGACCCCTTGTTTCTTCTGTCATGTGAGTTTGTAGACTGACCACATGAAAGATGTGTTCAGGTCTACAACTGGATACTGAGAAGTATCAGTTGATGAGGTTTTTGCCTTCCACATGACTGGTATTTTAGCTGAAGGACAGCCACAGGGTGAGGTTTTTGGGACCCACTCCCACTCCTTTTGCATTGGCGGATGCCGTTTCCTGGACAGCTCAAGCCCTCGCTGCATCTCCTAAGTTTTGTGACCTTGGACACGTTAACCGTTCTTCCCGCTTCACTTTCTTCAGCTGCAGAATGGAAATGATGACAGCTAGTGGACACGGTTGTTCAGATAACCCCGCGAGTCACTCATGAGGGACTTAGTGATCTGCACGCAGAAGACAATGGGCTTGGGCACATGTAGACCTCTCCCCTTGGAGAGACCCTAGGCAAGGGCAGGTGGGCACAGCAGAGCTCGCAGTCAGACTGCACTTCTATCAGAGCTGCCCGTGTCAGAAGGGCCACTGTTGACAGTGCTATCCTCTCTCGTAAAAGTCATTCTTAATTTTTGTTTAGTTTTAAAGCAAAATTATGTTTGTGGTTCTGAGTATAAAAATGAAAAGTGAGAAAGGCTCCTTGGTGCTGTTACTAAATTATTTCTGTAGACAGGTTCCATTGCGCGGGGACCTTGAGTCTGAAATAGTCACTAGTTTTTAAAATCTGTAAGATTTACTGTTTGACCTCAAGTTGATATGTGTAGAGGTAAGCAAGCAGATAAACAGCAGACTGTTATACAAAATCAAGATTTATGTGCTATCGGCTTTTAAATAAATATTTTGAACAGCACTATAGAATATTGAGTACATAAACATATCTTATTCTGCTGAACTAAGTACCTAAGTTTCCCCAGATTACCCAGTCATGTTGCCACTTTGATGTTATCTCTTACTTCTGGTGACTCCTTTGCTTGTTTTCATTGCATTTTACTACACAAAGCATAAACATTCTAAACACCCCAGAATTCCTGAAGCCAGAAGACAGACTCCTAATTCGTGACAGCAGGGCTGGTACAGATTTGTAGGAGGCCGTAAAAGAAGTTTTTAAAGCGAAATTTACAGATAAGAAGGATCACTTTACTTGGAGTTCATCCTTTCACTTCCCAATCCTTTAGGCAAACTGATCGGTATTAAATGAAAAGATGTGGTGGGGGATTTGCTTTGGAATGAAAAACGCTTTTTAATGATTAAGCTTCCTATACCTCTTAAAAATAAATTTACTCCGAAATTCCCATTAAGTCCTATTGAATTCACTGAGCAATATGGTCCCTTTGTTTATTTAACAGCTATAAATTCCCGAGGGTGTTAAGGACCCATTGTGTTGAGTCTGAGCCCTAATGTGTCTCTTTCCTGAGGCCTAATCACATATCTAGTCTGTCGATTAACTGTGTGCATTGATGGTACTGTGGTTCCATCCAGGTTCCCTGATAAACAGAACACACAGCATCCTGACATCTAAGCAGAGAAGTAGGTGGTGCACTGTGCAGGCACGTGCACTGAGTTTTCAGAGCGTATTTTGTCATTCTACTCTTTCAAAGGCAGTGTAAACACCCAAAATGCACTTCTATGAATTTGTCAGGGTATGGTTCTTTAAATTTGCGACATTTTTCTTAAGTATTCAGTCAGGTTTTTCCGAGAGACTGAGGAAATCATTGCTCCAATTCTTCTACCTTTTTGAACACTCTATAATGAATCTTAAATTTTCATCTGGTTTAAATATTCTGCCCATACCTCTTACACCTGATTTCCTGGTCAATCTCCGCTTAAGTTTCTGCAGCTGCGAAATCTCAGGCAGTATTGATTCAAAGTCCTGTTGCTAAAGGTTACTAACTTCATTCCCAGTATTGCTATAAATTACGTCTG